TAGTCCAAAATTCTGCTGCATGCCTTTGAACTGGAACCAAAAAACATGAGCACATTACTCTGATTTTAGCGTCATTGCATCGGCTTCCAGTTCGTTTTAGAGTTGATTTTAAGTTTTTAGTGTTTGTTTTTAAAGCTTTGAGTGGACTGTCTCCACAGTACATCTCGGACCACTTCCAAATTTACTCCCCCGCAAGTGCTCCGTGGTCCGAGGGCAGATCCAGCTCTTGGTGCCTAAGACCAGACTTAAAACCAGGGGGCCTTGTCTGTGGCCGACCCCAAACTCTGAAAAGCTCTGAACAGCCCCACAGTGGAGTGTTTTAAGTCTCGTCTTTTATTCTGTGGCTTTTAACACCGTGTGAGTTGTGTGGTCCTCTGTGTCTTTTATTTATTTTACTTATTTACTGTGATTTTATGTGTTCTGCTTTTATTTTGATTTGACTGGTTTTATTGTTTTGGGATTAGTATGACCAAATTTTAGCAATTTATCTTTTTGTTGTCTTTGTTTTATGGCGTCTCTCCACACAATAGCACGCGTCCATGTTTACCTGTCACGTATTACTAACAGGAAAACGACGTGAGCTTAACATGCATCCTAATCGATAACACACTGGCGGTGAATCCTCAGGTGGATTAGCATAAGAAGTACGCAGTGTGATTGTGTGATGGAACAGGATCAGCTGTTGGGTGAAAACTCGCTGTGCTCTTGCTGATGTTTTGAGAACAGCGCGGTTTTGTGGGCCTCTGGGGAGCGGCGCACGTCCCCACCGCCACACATCCTCCTAATGACACATCCACATGCACAGGACATACTCTGCTGCGGCGGCTAATCTGACCACCGCCATGGACCCGCACACTCTCTCTCCTCCCAAACAGCCCCCGCCCACTTTTTCTCTGCCGGCTTTTCTCCGGGCACGTATAGAGATCGCCGTCGTGCACGTGTGTAATGAGTCGAATGCATGGATTACTACTACGGGGAAAATAAACAAATGAACAAAACCAAAACAAAACATGAAATCAATCACAGTTTTCTTCTTTATTCACCTTTCGGGAAGTTGACGTGTGCACCAACATCATAATTCGTGTTGTATTATTTTGCATTGGGTTGCTGCTCCTGACAAGATCCATGTATTTAAAGCAGCCAGTGACGGAGTTAGCAATTTGGGGGCCCTAGGCGAACTTGAGTTTGGGGCCCTCACTATAATATATAATTTTTTTTGTTTTTGTTTGTTTTTGTTTGGTTTAAAAAAACTATATATTTTGGATTGTTCTGTTTTTTTCCCCCATTTTGTTTTCTTGAAATGGGGCCACTCAATATCGCAAACATCTCTATTTTTTATTTTTATTTTGGTGGATTGGAAACTTGTTTTATTAGTTCAGTTGCCTTTTAGACAACCAGAGCTGAAGGTAGTTTTATCTTTTTGCTAGTACAATTACATTTTTGCTTACATCCATTACATACGATTATTATTATTTTTCTTATGTTTATTGTTTAAATGTAAACTACTCTCACTTAATCATCTATAGTCATATTGAGAGAAAATCGAATCGCTCTGAGGGCCATTGGGTGGGGGTCCCTCCAGGTTTGGGGGCCCTAAGCAGCCGCCTACTTTTGCCTAATGGTAACACCGTCTCTGAGAATAGCTTTTAATATTTAAATTTTCTCTACATAATTTACTGTTTTTATCTTTGCTGTGTTATTATTTCTATTATTTGCTTCTTGCTCTATTGATCAGTGGTGAAATGTAATGAAATAAAAGTGGTTAAATGGCCAACTGTAAAGTTTTTAAAGTGCTTTTAAAAGTGTTTTTAAAGTGCTTTATAAATAAAGTTGGTATGGTATGGTAAATGCTGTACTTCACTAAATTTCAGAGCAGGTATCGGTACTTTTTACTCCACTACATTTTTGAATAGGACTGAAAAGTGTTTTTTTTTTTTTTTTTTTGTTTTTTGTAGTTTGAGATTTTCTGAAAAGTCTGGGGAGTGTTCATAGTTAGAAAAAAAAAAAAAAAAAGGTAATACTTTTACTTAACTAGATTTTTTCATGTGATACTTTTACTTGAGTACTCTTTTGCTCTGGTATCTGTACTTTTACTTAAGTACCAAAATTGAACACTTTTACTGAATGTTTTAATGTGATCGGTAAGTCTTTGAATCTCCTGAAAAACTCCTGAAATATAAACCAAATGTATTATTATTTTATTATGAAGTTCGATATGGACTATAAAGCTGCTTTAAAGCCCGCAGAGCATCGGTGCAGTGTTGACTTTGAAAATTAATCTACTTTGTGTCATATTTAATCATATTCTCCATTGACCTCAAATGTGACCACAAGAAGGCACTGTGTGAGAGCAGTTCGAGCCAAAAGTGGGCGGGGCTGAATACAGTGACGATAAATCATAAACCATTTTTGATTCCATTTAGTTTTGTGTAATTAATATCTAACTAAATCAGCTTCAGTGTTATCTTCTGACTTTTGATGCCATTTAACACAAAAATATATAATTTCCTCCTTTAAATAATATTTTCTAAAGTCTGAACTCTGCTCCAAACCACAATATTTTATATTTGTTGTAGAATCATGACACAAATAAGACAGGTATGTAAGTATGTTTGGGTAACTTCTTGATCAGATGTGAATACGACTGAAGTGACAGATTCCCACAATGCATCACTGTCATTTAAACAATGTGATCCTGCGAAAAGGTGTCAATGTACAAAGTACGGACTGCTCCTAACGTACACATAGCATGAATGTTTTCAGGATAGATGCGTATTGTGATCCTTTTAGTGGCTTCTCAGTTAAAGTGCTCACCTGTACTCAGCTCCTCATCGAAATATTCCACCCACTGTATTTGATCATAAAGTAGAAGTACTTGAAAGATGTTAAGAATCTCATTTGTTGAATGTCAAGTACCCATAGACCTGTAGCTTTTACTACTTTTTTTCTATTGTCAGTCCGTCAACTACGTCCAGCATATTACCTTCCATTTGTACTCCACTTTACAAGAAACAAGACTCCAGAAGCTCTACTACACTGTGGTCATTCCTTCACTTCATACCTGCAATGAGATACGTCTGTAGACACATCTGTAGCCCGGAGACAAGAGACGGCCCCTTCGACTGCCATCAATCACACGTACTCACACGCACACACAGTCACACACACACATATTACATTTATAAATAAAGTGTTTGAAGTGTCTTGGCAAATAACATAACATTAAAAAAAAAAAAAAAAAAAAGTGAACCACGTGATTATGTAAAACAATTGGGGTAGGACTCCATAAGTTTTTTAAACTTCATCCTCCTCCTTTTGAGCACCAGGTCCCAAATATGTCATGTATATATCACTATTTTTGTTATTGTTTTTGAATTTTGTTGTACCTCGCTCAAACAAAGAAATAAATGAAATGAAATAAATGAAATGAAATAACATAACAACAATTTAGTTCAAACGAGATTGGATCACCAACCTTCTAGTGTGTGAATGCTCATGACACTGAGCCCCTGCTGCCCCAATTTCAAATAAGAAAAGATGCACGTTATTGTTCCCAAGGGGAAACTTATGGTGACGCACAAAGCTCCATACAGACAGTATAGTCATTACAGAACCAAATGAAAAAGAGTTTCGGTTCAAAGTGTAAGTCAGCAGGTTTCTAGTCTTTATATGTGGTTCAGGTTCATGAATACTATAATACAATACTGTGATCAATCAAATATTTTATGGAAACAATGATTCAAATATCCAGATCTAACTATAACTTGACCACTCATTTTGAAATCTCTTTTCTGCTCCCGGTGGACAGCCTGCATATATGGAAAGTGTTGGCAGTTCTGGAGCTTTGTAATTGAAACGGGCCGCGGTGAGAGCAGAACTCTGGCCCAGGGATGATTAATGCTCCTGATCCACATACTCCACAGTAAGAAAAAGACTCAAACAGTTTCTATGAATGTTCTCAGAATCTTTCTATGTTTTTAACTGTTGTCTCGGGGCAATGCTGTGAAAATGAAAAGCATCAGAAGCATCCAGTTACATTCTTGAGTCTCACATATTGAAGTGAATCAAAGAGGTGGAGCCAAGATTCCTTCTCACCGTGTTCTCAAATCTCAACATGCCCTTCAGAAATACAATAAGTTTGTTATGTAGTTATGTAAAGAAGCCACTTGTGAAATAACTTGTGTGGAGTACAAAAACTGTAAGTGGGTAAAATGAACTAAGCATTGACACAGATGACTTCTTTACAAGAGTAGAGTCAGTTCACTATGCTATGGGATTGTGGCACAAAATGTCCTATCGCAAAGCCTGCACTTACTGTTAAATACATTATTAACATGGCTGCCACTACTAAAACTAGAAATTCTGCTATTGCTGCTGGTGGTGCCACTACCTCTGCACTTGAGGTAGTCTCTAGAAAAAGCTAGACTTTATCACTCCCATTGAATTGTGCTGTTATTACAACTGCCTGGCTGTCAATTTTGCCTCTTTGCCTCTTATTGGCAACATAAAATAAAAATACGCTTATAGGCAACATAAAAAATTAACAATTTCAGAAGCACTTCTATAATATTTTTTCATCCTGACACCTTGGTACCGTGTGCGGCGTGAAGCAGCGACCCAAGACACGTTTTGACAGATTCCTCAACAGAGTTTCAGCGGGGTAAGGGGCGTTCACCCACAAGTGTCAAACTAACAGCTGCGTAAAGTTCTTCATGGATATGCAAGGTGTATCCGAAAACAGGGCAATGACCCATTCAAAATAAAAGAGGCAGCTGGGGTAATTGCTTATGTAAATAAACGCAGGATTTGGAGAATTGTTAAAAATGTCAATACAAATGTGCCAAAATCCAAAGTGGCGCCGAAGAAAATTGATGGAAAATCCGCCGTCCAACTTTACGCACGCATTTCACGGTCCTGTTGTGCGTTACGTAACATAAGATGGAAGTATAAACCGGAAGCGCAATTGTCACACAGTTCGCTTGACACCCCCGCACCAACCGTCCGCCCTGCTGTGCCTGTATCTGCTGTAGAGTTGCGCCAGGCTGTACGTCTCCATTATATAACTTTAATGGACTCACGAGTTTAACGCCGCGGGAGCAGAGTGCAGGACCACACATCTGTCCTTCTATTTGCATTTATTCGTGGATTTGAGTTGAGGGATTGAAAAGCGAGGAGGGAGATATTGGTCACTTTACCCCCTGCTGGCGACGTGAGTTTAAAGTTGTCGACGTCTCGCAGAAAACGGTGGTGCGCACAGCGGCTCTCATGGACTACATGTAGGTCAGCGAACCGTGTGTACTTTTCTGCACAAACGCCGTTTTCTCCAGATCATGTTTTTCTTCTGCAGAAGGATAAAGCCCCGTACGGATACCACTGACATTTTAACACCCAACCTTTTCCGAGCTTGACAGAGGTCTATTTTTTAATACAATTTGGACGGACAGATGACCTAACTGGAGGAGCGCATCTTATTTGAAACTACAGGTACGAGCAGCTTGTTTGTTCTTGGTGCAGTAGAATACCCTAAATACAAACTATTTGTTATTCTAAACCGTATAGGAGAAAACGCAAAAAGATTCAATGCATAGTAGGAATAGTAGGAACAGTATTGTGTAAGATATGCCGTATTTTTCTGGACGCAAGGTAGCTGTAACAAAAACAAATATCATATATACTCTGTTGCATTAACTTAAATAAATCCGATGTGAGCGATCTGCCCGTTTAGGCGTGTGTTCAGTGCAGTGTCTCGTCATAGCCAACAGGTTGCACTAAAGCCGTGTGTGCAGCGCACAGTGCAGACTGGAAAAAGTATCGCAAAAGTCCGAGAAGTATGAAACTTTCTATTTTCCCTTTACTAAATCTACATGGGAAGGAAAAATACAACAGCCTGTGGTCAGCAAACCACGGTCAATAAATATAGACCATAGTCCAAGTCGAGTGGAAATCTATACTGTAGTCTGCGTGGGCGTGGAAAACACTGCTGCTCTCCGAGATATGACCAAAACAGCAAGGCAGAATAAAAACAAGCACAAGCTCATTTTGCGATAGCTCATTACATTTACTGATTGACTAGGCCTACGTGATGTGTTGTGCGTGCGTGTTACTGTGAGCGGTTATCATGTTCATCTGTAAACTGTGCACTCTCAGCCCTGCCACTTATATTTTCAAATCAAGACCAGTCTGTTTATTGGTATGATTGTGCACTTGTGCATGTATAAACACTGCACTAGCCACGTCGTACATGTGGTAGTCTATACGTCGTCTGTAGATGAGGCATGGTGCCTCTAACCACGTCACGCCCACCGCCTGAAGCAAAAATAAAAACATAGTAGGGCATGCAGACTTGGCCCGTGACAGCGTCAGGGGAGGACCGGGGTTGTCTGTCACGCTTTTTACTCAAGAGCAAATTGCTCATCATCAGAAAAGAAGTCCATAATACATCAAATAAAAACTTAAAGCCTTTGCTTGAAATGTGTGGGACTACAGTTTGTATAAGCTAATGTGACGAAAGTTATGAACCGTTAAAGATAACAAAATCGATTATGACAACTTGCCCCCTGTCAAGGTAGACTGTCACAGTGTGGGGGACAGCTTGACCCTGTTTTCTATTAAAACATGCTTTTGGCATATAAATAAATAAATATATATATAATCACACATTACACATTATGCGTACAAACTATTAATTTGAGCACAAGCAATTGTTTGTTTGATTTAAATTTTTAAAAAAGTCTCTATTAAGCTTTAAATTGAAGGAATAATTCCGGAGTTGTAGATAGACAGATATAGTTTCAACAAAAGCTACTGCTTTAATGACTAGTCAGGGTCTATAAAACACATTACATCAGCTCCACCATTTATGTTACAAATGACAACCAACCCTGACCTCCCGGACACAACCAACCCCAACTCACTTTCTAACAGAAAGGTTAGCTGTCATAAAAATGACTCATAAAAAAGACAAACGTCTTCTCACTTGACTTAAAAAAATAATAAGATGAATGATACCAACATCAAGCCACAGCACCCCCTGGTGTGGCTATGAAAAGCAATGTGACAGCCGACCCATGAGACAACCGACCCCGGTCTCCATTTAGGATATGTCATTTCTCTACAACAGTAACTCAAGAAACATTTTGTCTGTGGTGACAGCTGGCTTGACTCGCCCTCCAGATACAGCCATCAAGGTTAATAATCTACAGGTGATCTACTAAGCTGTGAACCATTTTCTACATTGTCTCATGACCGACTTTTCATATGTTATCTCATGCTGTAGCAGTTTAATGTACACACTTTTTACCAAACAGAGATAAATATTGGTGACAGCTCCCACTGCTCCAAGCCCAGAGCCTTAATCTCTATAAACAGATGTATTTGTACCTTGTCATTGGCTGCACAGCACTGACTCTGTTGCACTGCCTGTAACACCAGTTAAGCCCAGGCATGTCTTGCTCTTGTTGGCTCAGATCCAAACGGCACATAGCAACGTTGCATGTGCCGGAGACTGGAGTACATAGTTCAAAGCAATGACTTGAATGTTCTAATGATTTATGTTGTGGCAGTGCAGGTCTTTTTGTCCCCCCGTGCTGCTCCTGATTCTGGCAAACTGTTAAAAGTGCAACTGTCACAGGAGACCGGGTCAATTTTGTCATTCAGCTCTCTTATATAATGAACAGCAGAGCACTGGCAGAAATGTTGGATAACTTTGCTTGGAGGTTACTTTTTTGGATTTGAGATTGTTTTCTGACACTTGTTATTTTGAAAGATCTTCTAATGTTGTTTGTGTTTTTATTCCCTCTCCAAGATAAAGCAATGGATCAGGGAGGACTGAAGCGCAACGGTAATCGAGACGACAGCCTGACATTTCTGGAGCCTGGAGTTGGAGTGGGCAGAGAGTCAGTAGACACAGCTGGTTCACTGCTACATGCTAACATGCACCTGCCCAACAACAACACAGCCCCTCTGCAGATGTCGCAGTCCACCGTGGCCTCCAATGGACGGGTCGCACCCAAAAACCAAGTGAACTTGGTGAATCTTTTTGAGTCTCCGGATATTTGTTTCAACATTGAGGACAACCTGCCCGTGCTGAACCATGGCAGCACTGATCTGGACCGCTCCTCCACTAATATCATCAACTCTTCAGACACGTCTGTCTTGAGGAACCTGCCCATCCCAGATCTGTTTGGGTCCCACATTAAACAGGAGCAGGACTTCCCTCTGCACAAGGACATCGGAGGGTATAACACACCGCCCGGCTCCTGTGACCTGGACGGCACCAACGTCAGGCTGATGGAGGACAGTGAGATTTGGCAGGGTCTGGACCTTCCTGGTACTCTGCCTGAAATCAGTGATATTGAAGTGGTTTCAGAGGTGGCCCTCCTGGATAACATCCTCCATGAAACCGCCAGCAATGTGGGAGTCCCAATGCGGGGCATGTTAAAGGAAACCAAGCCCCTAATGGGTAACGGAGGCCACTGTTCTGGTGTGAACGGGACAGACCCCCACCACGCCTCCATGCTTCACCAGGCTCAGGATGTGCCGCTGCTGCACCACCAGCCCACCTCCCTCCTCTCCAGCGTCATGATAAAGGAAGAGAAGGAGGATGACTTCATTCACATCCAAACGCCCGGAGTGGTCAAGCAGGAGAAGCCGGACAACTCTTCTTACTGCACCAACCAGTGTCTCCAGAACAGCTCTCTGCACGGAGCCCCTATGCCCCCCTCTATGGGGCACGGGTACCACTACAGACCCGCCCCAAGCTCCACTGTGACCCTGCCTGACCAGAAGCCATTTTCCATGTACCCCACACTGCCCCCGGTGGAGGAGGGCTGGGCGCGGGGCCGATATGGAGAGGGGTCTGGGATGCAGAGGAGCGAGAACGGCCTGCCCTCCACCAGCCCATCCCTGGCTCCGTACCCACTGAACTTCCCCAGGTAAGACGTTATGTCACACTTGCTTACTTTAATCAGCATGTTATGTACGCTTTTAGTTTGTGCATGCGTCATTCAAAGAGTGTAAACAGTCTTGGCCTGGTAACATGTTAAAAAACAGAATTTGATTTCGATATGAATGGGCCTTTGTGTAATAATTAGATACTGAAGTTGTACAGTAAATAACTATATTGTTATGAAGAAGTGAAATTAAGTGGCTGGTCTTGTCATGCTTTTGAAGTATCGTATTCAGCCTGTGGATGTGAGGATAACTGCCCACTGGCCTATTTCTGAACATGGCAAAGAATACCAAATGCTGGCTAAGCATTCTGGTGGACTTGTAGGCACATACATCGCAGAAAAGAAAAAAAAAAATCATCTTTAACATAGTGGATATGTTATTGTCTACAGTACACTTTGAAACCTTGAAAACCCTTGTAAATATAGCAGACAGAAGTTGCCCTTTAAATAGGCATTTGAAAGATGGGGCAGATGTAACATATTTATGGGTTGGGCACTCACGCACACACAATAAGCATGCTTTGAATTTCAGAAAAAAAAAAAAACAAACGCTTTTCATGGTTTGGGTTCAGGATAGTGTTTGTAGCATGTATGTCGCATGAGGCAACAAGTGAATTAATAGACGGGTTGCCAGGATACAGGACCGATATTTCAATACCCAGAAAAGACTTACTTTGATTAGAAGTGTTCTTGCGTATGTATCTTGCATCAAACATATTTATTATTATACATATGAGATTAAGCATGGGAGTCTTTCTGTCATCACTTCCCGTTGCTGTGCTATTATGGGATATCACAAGTTTACGTAAATATGCGATCCCAGAGGAAGTGAGTCATTGTGAGAATACATAGGTCAAATGTAATTGTGCACTGGGTCAGATCATTTAAAGGGAGAGTGTTTTAAGTGAAGAAATGTGCTGTTTGCTGATGACTAAGCACGTTACGCAAGGGCTGTTAATATACCGACGAAGGTAATATTGGGTTTGTATGTATTCTCACCTCATTGTTGTACATTGCATTACGGTTTGACCCATTTGTCACTGCAACAGATTTCAATAGAATCAACAGAATAGAAACTATAACAAAGGCTTTTTTCAGGTCTAAAATGTCAGTTTAAAGCTAGTGTTGTCAAGATACTTTTATATTCCCGTGTGGTTTTATGTTTATGTAATCCGTCAGTGGTCCAAGTAGGTTCCAAAGTGGTCCATGGGCGTTTAAAATAGTCTCATACTTGTTCTGATACAGCTCAAGATCATTCTAAAGGTATTCAGGAAAGGTTCATTTCTGTCCTGTGAATCGTTCGGTATCTGATTTTCGATACTTTTGACGACCCTTTACACGAGATCCTTGTTTATTTTGGTTGTTTCAATCCCCGGTCTATTTGGCTATTGTGTTCTATAGGGCGCAAGAAAGTACACATACATATAAATAGTTAGGATTGTTATTAAAGGGCCCATATTACGCTATTTTCTGATCTGTTATAATGTTGTTTCCTCATCACAAACATACCTGGAGTTGTGTTTTGTTTCATTCACAAATGTTTAACTCTCAAACTCTGCATATTTAGGCTGCGTTCTTCTCTCAAACAGAAAACACTCAGTTCCACCTCGTGATATCATGCGGTAATACATCAACTGCTCCACTGTCCACACCCATACTAGAATGATTTTAACGATTTCAGCCCCGGAATTGCGAATCTCTACTGAAATGAAGTTAAAGAGGAGCTGTTAACTTGAAAACACTTCATGACATCAAGATGGAATGGAGCAGTTTCAGCTTTTAGAGATATAGACAAATTTATTGCAATATTGTGGGGAGGCTCACGATTAGGGATGTAACAATATCCAAATCTCTCAGTACTATATTTTCGCGATATACATCTCACCGTACGATATTTATTGCGATACAAAACTGTTAATATGCTACATTTTCCTCTTAAAATGCCTTGACAAGACTTAATCCAAAGAACTAAGACTTAAAAATGCTTAGAACTGTTAGGATCATGGTCTATGTAGTTCCCTCTGTCTTTTTTTTTTAGCTATTGCTGCACCATAACTCTTAATTTAAGCAAAGAGACTTGTAATTCGATATTACTGTGAGAGCTTTGACGATACGGTATCACGATATTTTGGTTATTGTTAAATCCTTACAAACTACAGACGTGTGAATGAAACACAACACTGCTCCAGGCATGTTTTTGGTGTCGTAACAACATTCTAACGTGTCAGTTTTGTTCAATACAGGACTTTTAAGGGTAAAGAGAAGATGCTGATGTTGCTTTAGTTCATTTCCGTGTGACTGTGTTTGAAATCTGAAAATATGCTTCTGAAACACAAAATGATTAAACACTGCGAATTCTGACATGAAAGGGCTTCTTGTGGTCACACTCTCTGCATACCAACTCACTTCCCCTTTCCTTCCATATTTGATCTGCTGCAGCGCCGTTTGTATACAGTAGAACGCACACCGCACAAACGCTGCTTTAAATCTTCATTTCACTTCATTTCATTCCGCTCCGTTTTCCTGCAATTACTAAAGCGCGTCACCCTTTAGCGCTTGTCTGGGAATCGCCGTAGCCTTCAGAGTGCGCTTAAAATTGAAATACAGCTCGTTTACGCAGCCATCCCTCTTCGAGAATGTCCAATCTCATCTCATTTCAGACGCTAAGCAGGGTTGGGCCCGGGCAGTGCTTGGGTGGGAGAGCGTTGGGAAATGCCAGGTGCCGCGTTTGGGCAGCGGCGGCTCTGTAACCTCATACTGCCACTGCGTACTTAAGCAAGACACTTAACCCACTTATAAGTCTCGTGCATTATTCCTGTCGTTATATTTTAAGTCTCGTTTATAGGCCTGTCGCAATACGATTCTGAAGCACGAGATTTTGCTACGTTAAGGAACCGATAATTAGCCATAGAAGTTAGATCAAAGTTGCAGTTTTTAGGGGACATTCATTTTATAAAATCAGAGACCAGGAAACGACATTTCATGTTGAAAGGCAAGTTCTAGTAACAACAATAGAACAGAGAACAACAGACTGTTAACGTCACATATGAACAGTTCTTCAGATAAACTATAACAGAAACAACAGAACAGAACAAGGTTTACCAAACTCTCCATCTCACTCCAAATCACTAAATCCATTGAATTCGTCATCATCGACGTCACTTCTGAAGCAACTCCACGACCTCCAGAGGTGAACAGAGTGCTACTTCCTCTTCTGTCTCTTTCCTTTTCTCTCTCTCCCTCTCCTTTCTCTCTTTTTCCTTTTCCTTCTCTGCCTCCTTTCTCTCTTTCTCCTTTTCCTTCTCTGCCTCCTTTCTCTCTTTCTCCTTTTCCTTCTCTGCCTCCTTTCTCTCTTTCTCCTTTTCCTTCTCTGCCTCCTTTCTCTCTTTCTCCTCCTCACTCTCATTTCACTTTCTTTCCGTCTCTCTCCTTCTCTCTCTCTCCACCCCTCCTCTCTCTCACTCTGTCTCTCTCGCTCTGCCTGTCTCTTTCCTTTTCCCATTCTCACCCTCCTCTCTCTCTTCTTCTTCTTCTCTCTCTTTCCTTCTCACTCTTGCTTTCCTTTCTCTCTCTTTCTTTCTGACCCTCTTGCACTCTGTCTCTTTACTTTTCTCTCTCTCCACCTCCTCTCTCTTTCTCTCTCACTCTCTGTCTCTCTCTTCTTCTCTCTCTCCCACTCCTCTCTTTCTTTTTCCTCCCCCCCTCTCTCTGTCACTGTCTGTCTCTCTCCTCTCTTTCTTGCCCTCCTTTCTCTCTTTCTCCTCCTCACTCTCATTTCACTTTCTTTCTGTCTCTCTCCTTCTCTCTCTCCACCCCTCCTCTCTCTCTTTCTTCTTCTCCTCTCTCTTTCTGTCTCTCTCTTTCCTTCTCTCTCTCTCTTTCCTTTCTTTCTCTTTCTTTCTGACCCTCTTGCACTCTCTACTCTCTGTCTTTTTACTTTTCTCTCTTTCTCTTTCTCTCTCTCTCTCTATCTCTCTTTCTTTCTGACCCTCTTGCACTCTCTACTCTCTGTCTTTTTACTTTTCTCTCTCTTTCTTTCTTTCTCTCTCTCTATCCTCTCTTTCTTTCTGACCCTCTTGCACTCTCTGTCTCTTTACTTTTCTCTCTCTCCACCTCTCTCTCTTTCTCTCTCTCACTCTCTGTCTCTCTCTTCTTCTCTCTCTCCCACTCCTCTCTTTCTTTTTCCTTTTCTCTCCCCCCTCTCTCTCTCTGTCACTGTCTGTCTCTCTCCTCTCTTTCTTGCCCTCCTTTCTCTCTTTCTGACCCTCTGTCTCTGTGTCCCCCCTCCCCCCCTTTCTCCTTCTCTTTTTTCTTTCTCTCTGTCTGTCTCTCTCCCCCTTCTCTTTCTCTCATGTCTCTCTCGTCCTCCTCTCTCTCCTCCTCTCTCCCCCTCTCTCTGTTATTTCCCCTCCCCTCCATTTGTACCCTTCATATTTGAGCGTAAACTATGCAGACAGGAAGCCCATGGTTTGGTAACAGTGCATTCTTGCACTACCACGCACGATATTTCACATATGAAGCCTTCCTCTTCATGTCTGCGTGAGACCAATTACCCCGGGATCGGTCTGGAGTTGATCATTGACACCGGCTACAGCCTTAAGCATGTTTACTTTCGCCGGGGCCTTATGTCATATGTTGCACTTATGTAATTTTGTATAGCTTTTCACTCTGAGATTTTAATGAGGCCAAAGTCTTAACGCAGCAATAAAGGCGCCACCACTCTGACCAGAGAACGCTCATAACGGGGATATTTGGAAGCAGAGGAAAAACGAGTGCTGAAGTATAGATCAGTAGTCCGTGTAGTGTTGCAGTTAAGACCGCACTAATCGAGACAAAGACCAGTCCGAGACCGCAGGGTCCCGAGACCAGGACAAGACCAAGAGAATCTGAGAGTTGAGACTGAGACAAGGCCAAGACTTTTAAAAGTCCAGACCGAGACGAGACCAAGGTTTTTAAAAGTCGAGGCCAGGACAAGACCAAGA